ACTCTGGTGTGTGTGTGTGTGTTTTAACATATAATTAATATAGTTTTTTGGCTTCTTTATTAATAAAACTATAGTAAAAAGAACATTAACATGACAATACTCTTGCCATTATGACTTATCTTGTTCTCTTATTAATGGATGTTTTATACTACTGAAACAAATACTTTCTTTGTTCTTCATCAACATTAATTTTAAGATTTAGATGCAGTTTTCTAATAAAAATGATGGAGAAGTAAAAGTTTAGTTAGTAGAATCAGAAGGATATTTTTGCCCGTCTGTTAAGCCTAAAACAAAGTATTGAGTAGGTCTTCATTTTTTTTGACCAATTTTTTTTCTTTTATATTTGAATATATAGAAAATTCAATATGTTTTTGTGCATATTGTATTTTACTATTTAGATTTATGATATCGAGTGTGCTTGGGGATTCCAGAGAAGCCTGAGTAAATGAACTAGATGTTATTGGAAGATTAAGAGTCAGAGGAATGGAAAATTGTGGTGATAAAGTAGTGACATTATTGAGTAGGCTGTGGAAAATGAAGACATGTGAGCATGGAAATAGCATGACTATGTTTTAGAAAGATCACTTGGGCAGATATAGAGAGAATGGATTAGAAGAAAGGAACAATTTTTTTTTAGGGAGTTACTGTCGTGGCAAGAGATAATAATTGCCTTACCTAGAGGAAATGGAAAGTTAAGGAGGTGGATTTCAATGTCTTTAATAGGACTCAGTGATTATTTAGGGAATGTGAGAGGATAGAGACAAGGATAGATCCTACATTTCTGTCTAAGGCAACTAGGTGGATGATAATACACAGATCCAGAAGAAAAGAAGTACAATATGTTAGGCCAGCATTCCCAATCATGAAAAAAGTTTGTTTAATTTACCTCTACCCATTCTTTTCATATAGTAGTTTCCCATCCTTTCCTAGCTTACCTAGCTATCTTGTTTCTAATAATACTCAAAAGTACTCAGTAGCTATGAGGATCAGAAAATTCTACCCTAGGAATTCTTGGCTATAGCTTACATGAAGGTGAGTTTCTCAGGTGATGAGTTTCTCCAGGAGTAGTTCTCTTCCTGGTTAGGAGGCACTTCTACAAATCTAAAATTCCTTTATAAATGTAAATTTCCTTTACAAAAGAGGACACATACTCTATTTTCAGGCAGGTAGGTCAGATAAAGATTTCTGTGAGTCTGCTCAATTGCCTGAAGCTCAAAATAATCCACACGCCCGAAGGCATATTTTAGGGTAGCATATTCTGGTACCTTTCAAGCGCATCCACCCAATTCTTGGAACTGTCACCTCAAAGATCCATTCTGGTTGCTGAGCATGGAATTTCTTGCATGTAATAGCTTGCAGGATTATAGCTTGAGAATTATAATCCTTTTCTCTCTAGCCTTTCTCTCCATGGATAGCTATGGTTTTAACCAAATTGTTTGTTCTACTTGTGTTATACTTTTCATTGAGAAAATAAGTACCAGGTTTATGTCATTGTTAGATATATTGTGACATTTTACAAACTCAGAGTCCCATGCTCCATAACATACAATGTTAACATCCACCTTAAAAAAAAAAACTTTATATATATGTTTTCAACTTTCCACTTGTATCTTCTTCCCATGTAAATCAGAACTAAACACTTCAATACCTACCCATCAGTTTAAACTGCAACATTGGTTTCTTCCTCCCGTGTAGTTTTAGGTAGAGCTCTCCAATTGAGTGATAAAGGACAGCATTTATAACATCCTCCTTTGCTCACTCTCCTCCTGGTGTTTGCTTTAGAAATACAATGTTGGTCATCTAAATTTTTAAAAAATGTGTTCAGTAACTTATGGTAAATTCTTTGAATGCATTAAAGACACATTCACTCTCATAGACTTTCTTTCCAAAATTCAGAAAATCTTTCCAAAATTCAGAAAATCTTGATAATTTTAATAATTATGATAGTTTTAATTTCATCATTCAGTAAAGCTATTCTACCTAATGACACCCATGTCATTTGTGTGTGTGTGTGTGTGTGTGTGTGTGTGTGTGTGTGTGTGTGTGTTGTTAAAAAACAAAATTCAGTGAGTAAATTTGAAGATCTAACTGGCTTTAGTAAGCGATTCATGAATGGGGTGGAATCTCTTCTAGCAACTAGTGCTCCCAGGGTTGTACAAAATAAAGGGTTTTTGTAGGAAGAAGGGTGGGCAAGGGAGCTATTATCAAAAGAAAAGAAAGAATTATTTTTAGATCAGGACATCTTTTTTTGGGTGTGGGGGGGAATGAGACTTTTTATCATGCAGATTGCTTCTTCTTTCTACTATGGGGATGGAGATGGCCTACCCAGCAGATTACTTCACTGGTGTTGAACAGAAAATTTGAGACTGGTTGATTAAGATTTTGTTTCTGCGAGAAGTAGAAACAATGATTAGGTCAGGTATTAAATCTAGTTTTGGTATTGTGGACTTTAGCACAAGTGACTCCATTGTAGACCTACAGTTTTCTCTTTAACAATGTATTTTAAACGAATGCTTTTTTTTTTTTTTTTTAATTTACTTCTCTGGGTTTTTTTTTTTTTTTTTTTGAGATTCTCTTAAGTGTCCTCATGTCTTTTATCCTGCTAGCTCTTAATTAGCTGCTCTTGCAGATAAACTTACCTACCCGCCCCCTTCTCTTTTCACTTTTAAACTTTAATTTGTCATTTTTTTTTGAGTATCTTATATCATCTTTCCTAATCCATGTCCCCTTTTCTGACCTTAAATCCTTTAAGTCATCCTTTCTGATGATGGTAATTTTATTCATCTTTACAAAATTTGTTGAAGGCATAGTATGTGGTAGTAACTGTGCTAAGTGCTAGAGATATAGTGATGTACACAGAAAGGGTCTCTGACAACAGCTTGCAAGGACACATAATTAAGCAGTACATACAATACAATGTGATAAGAGCCATGATGAAAGGAAAAGTTCTGAGTTGTTAAGGGGCATCTGGAAAGTACATAGAAGAGATATCAACCAAGACTGGGTTCAAGAATTCCTTCATGTGAATTAGGCAAAGGGCAGATGGTGAAGGATTAGCTTTCCTAGGCATTCGAGGCCAAGAGTAGGGAGGAGAAGAAAAGGGGGAGGGAGAGAGAAAGAGAGAGAGGTGGGAAAATGTATCTTATATCCATGGCACTTTATTAGTATTGAAACTGTTTCAATATAATTGAATTTATATTTATATTACTTTCTGTACAGGTACAACAACTTTTGAGGTTCCTGGTGTTTATATTTTTACATTTTTCTTTGGCTCGGAAATAGGACTTCTCTACTCTACTTTTATAATGATTTCCAAATGCCATAATTTTGCTAGTAGATAATAGGTGCTTTATACCTATTATTAACTAATTTTAGGTGCCTAGGGCAGGTATGTAAATACATTTCCAAGTTTTTCATAATAAGTGAGGATTGATATGTGTATTTCTCTGCTTATGGTGAAGTCAGAGTGTGATGAGTATAGTGTTTTATTGGCAAACATTCAATGTCAGGTTACTTTTGGTAAAGTACGTAGCATGGTATATATGTTACATTAATTATGCTATTGTACTAGCAAAAGAGTACTCTATTCTGAAATAAACCACAACCTAGATTTTAAATCAGAGGTTTGTGGCATTAGAATCATGAAACGGGCCTTAGATATTAAATGGTCCAACTCCCTCATTCTACAGATGAGGAAATTGAGACCCAGACAGGTAATGAAAGAACTTTAAATTAATTGTGATGATTTTTTAGTGTAGTGTTTGTTTTTATTTCTAATACTTTTGAGAAAAACTATTCCAGTTGTTTGCTATTTCTTTTGTTTACCTAGCTTATGTAATCAGATTATTTTTAATAATCTAGCAAATATGATCTATAGATTCTTTTAAAATTGAAAATTAAAGAACTATTAAAGGAAGAGACATTTGAAACTTGGATTTTTTTAAAACTAGTGTGTTCAAAGCTAAAAGTTAAAGAATTCTAGAAGAAGAAAGTAGAGATTGTTTTTTTATTTTTGATATCTTATGGGAGGCAGAACTTAAATAAATTTACTCGTTTTTGTGATCTACTTCCTATCTTACTTAATGATTTATAAAGATAAATCTCCAATTTGTCACTCATCTTTGCAAGAGTCTATTTTTCTCTAAGGCACAAAAGTTTATGTAATACTCACCATGTTCCTATCAAAAAGGCATCGCAAATATTGGTGTTCTTCTTTTACAAATGAAGACCTTGAGGCACTCCAAGATTGCATTGAATCATTTTTTTAAGGTCTCTCAGTTAATAAATAACACAGTTGATGTCAGAACATAGTGACATCAATGTGTTACTTTGGCATCTTTTCTGTTGGTCAGGAAGAGAAGGAGAACAGGAGGGAGACGAGGAAGAAGATGAAAGAGGAAAAGGAAGAAGTTGGGGCAAGGAAGAGGAGGAGAAAATTTTGCTTGTTGTGTGTCTGTTAGCTGCCATTCACAAGTTTTGCACAGTCATACATTGCTTTCAATTTTCATAAAAATTTTCTAAAATTGCTAAAATTAATCCTATGTTATAGTTGAGGAAGCTGAGTCTTAAAGAAGTTACATTCCTTGCTTATAGTTACACAGCTAGTATTGGAGGTACTCCAGAACCTGCCTTTTCCACCACTGCAAAAAACTGATTCTCATGCTGTTCCTTATCTCCCTGTATTTTTTCAAATGGACATTGCAAAATTCACTTTAAATTTTATTTTATTTCTATAAGGGAAGCAGACCAGCAACACTAACAAACAAAACTGTAACTCTGCACCATGGCATGTTGATAGTATCAACACTCAGGGGGAAAAAGGTACATCTATTTCTGGACTAAAGTGAAAGTAAGGAATTAAAAGTTAACATCAAAACCGAAACAAAGCCACGTTTTGTGAAACACACATTAATAGCAGTACACTGGATCAAAAGATGTGATCTCACTTCATAGTAAAACAGGTCCTGCAAGCCCAGGTAACTCAGGAAGCAGGATGGTAATTATTCACAGAAGAAAGCAGGTAGTATACTGTTACAATACTACAGTAGAAAGTCAGAAGGTCACAAAGCTGGCAGGTAACTGAAACAACTTGAAGCTGCTTGGCCCCCTTTAAAAAGAAATTATAAAATGGGAGAGAATGAAGCAAGTTTACCTAACACATCCTTGCAAGGTAAGTGCCAACAGCCTTGGAAATGTCTGCAATCAGAAATTTAAGCAGTGTCGATTACAAAGTGCGTGCATGTGCACGTGTGTGTGCGCGCGTGTGTGCGTACGTGTGCGTGCGTGTGCGTGTGTGTGTGTGTGTGTGTGTGGTGTGCCCCTCCCCTCCGCCCCGCTGAGTTTCAAGGTGTGCTTTTGAGGGTGGGGAGAAAAGGTAGGAATCGTTTCAGAAGAAGCAGGCTGTCTCCGTTGTGCTCAGCAACCTGACCACAGATTTTGTGGAGCTTGGGAGAGCCTTATCCTTTGTCCCCAGTGTGGTGGTGGAGAAATGGTGCAACCAACCCTCTGGTGCAATTTTCATTTTAGACCTTTTTCAACATTGACCGAATATGGATTTTTGTCTCTGCCTATGCAATTTCTATTTGTAATCAAGTTTTGCTGTCCGTGGGATTTACTAACTAAGTGTCCTTGTAATTAATATATATAACTTTTTTAAATGTAGAAAACAGGATCTCAGAAGATATCAGTTGGGGAGAGCAGTTTATGTTACATGTCTTACTTAATCAGATACCTTTGTCCTTTGAACGGATTGGCTTTGTTGACATTGGCTTGACTGGGCTTCTACGGTTAGGCTTACTGATAGAAAGGAATACAATGACCTCACACTTTCCACTTTTTTGAATGAGAAAAGTTCTTTCTTCAAAAAAATAGAAAATGTGTCTAGTGCTTATTTGTTGCCATAGTTTTTAGTAGTCTACTACTCTCTTACAAATTACCACCTCTACAGGTAACATTTCGATGAAGATTTTTAAAAAAAATCTACATATAATGTCATTTTTATTTTTTTAATTCTTTTCTTGTGAGGCTCTCAGCAAGAAAATTCTCAAACCACCCAGTTTTCCATTAAGTACATATAAAACTACATCTATGAAATATAATTCATGAAAGAATAACAATAACGTGATCATGGACATGCCTGGTCATAAAAGTATAGCATCTAATTTATAGAGTTGAATTCTTTTCCAGAATGCCTGCGTTCTTTATTTCTTTAATCCTTTCTCAAGTTAATCTGTTTAAGAATCTGGGAATCTTATTTCTATTTCTTGATGTTTTCTAAAAACGTTTTTGAAATACTGCATAAAATGCTATCATGAAGCATTTTTAATTTAAAGATTAATAAAAGAAGTCATTTATTGCATTCCATTAAAGAAAAACAACAAGATAAAAGGCTCATTTAGCATAATTCTATGAAATATTTTAATTTTATGTGTTTTATAGACAAAATGCTATTATGTATGTGATTATAACATATACATTCATTGTCTTAGTAATATCTTTCGTTGAGAAAGCATACTAGAAGTATTTAGGTTATTAGATAGTTGTTCATATAATAATAATTTTGTATAAAATATATGTGACTGTTTGGCAACCCCTTACACAGTGTATCTTAGACTGTGTGGGTGTATCGCTTGGGTCTACATTCAAGGGATTGAAATAAATTGAGAAGTAACTAGGCCTTTCTCCTTTCCTCTGGCCTCTCCTCTTTCCCCTTATCAACACACTTTGTGTCAGGATCATGGATAATATTTACTTCTTTTTTTAGAGCTCTAGCATTTGTATAGATTTTCCATTTTGTTTTTCGTTTTTCTTTTTCTCTGACACTTTTATGTATGCTATGTTTCTGGTAATATGTTTCACTGTAAAAGGATGATTGGTATATATATACACAATTATTTTAAGAATTAATAAGCAGTATAAATCAGAAAAATGCCCAAATTTAAAGCAAAAGCTATAGTAAATAATTTGAATGCCATGGTTTGAGTTAGAAAATTATGTGCCTAGATCTGTAAACCTTCTGTCATTGGGAAATGCTCGTGAGAGCAGTTCTGTCCCAAGGTATTTTATTTTGTTGAAAACTTTTCAATAAGGAATTTTTTCTTCTCTGATCTTATCTGAGTTGAAATGTATTCTTGTAGGTCCACAAAGAATTCAGATATGTCTTCTTGGGGTATTAAAATGCTCCCGTTCCAGTTGTATTTGCCTTAAGATTATTAAGTAAACCAGTTAATCAGGTGAGAGTTAATGAGAAATGATGGTACTTAAGTTGGTTTTAAAATATTTCTGGATTTTCTTAAATTATAAAGGAAAGCACTATGAGGATAATTTGCACCTTTATTTGTATGTGTGAAGGTAAGCGATTTTGTTAAGTGTGTTTAATATTTTATGAAAGATATCAAGATATATCCTACAATATTTATTTATGGAATGAACTAACATTATTCTGTTTTCTGTGCAATACCCTGTCCTATATCCGAGCTTCAGTTTAAAAATTATCAAAGTAAATAAATAGGCATTTTGAGATGTTGTTTAATTTTTGATTCTGAGGTTCTCTGAAATGATACTAGTTATTATCAGCTCTACTTTAAATGACTGTTCGCTAACCAAAATGACTATATTCAAATACTATGTTTTGTACAGTAAACATATGGATGATTTAGAGTTTTGGTATGAAGATAATAAATGACAGTAGATTATAATTAGAACTCCATCATGTACTTTGAATAATGATTTTCTAAGGCCGTGTATCCAGATTGTCTAGGTTCATTGGACCATCTCTAGTCACAGCTTGGAGGGCTAGCCATAGACATTGTCAAAGATTATTTATTTTAGTGCTATTTCTTGCAGGTCTCTGACTCATTTCTATAACCTAGAAGCTAGTTAGGTGTTCCTGGTTGGTGGAGCTCATACCATAGCTATCAACGTTTAGTATTTCCAGTGGTATTGCGAACCTATTTTTTCACAAATGAAAGTGTGCTCGTTCCAAGGTTATCTTCAGCTTACTGTGTTAACAGATATCAATTATCTCTTCAAATATAAAAACCAATCTCTCCCTTTTAGTCTCAATGAAAAGTAACCCCACAGAGAATTATGTAAAGATTTTATACGTGAAGGTTTATAACATTCTCAGGATTCACAAAATAGAATTATCTAGGTTTGGATAGAATGCTAGAATTTTCTTTCTAATTTTTCAAGCTATAAATAAAATACCTATGTAATATGACAAGAGGAGAAGGGAGAGTGCTCTTTGAGCATTGTTTGCTAAGGAAAGAAAGCATCATTTCTTTGCATAATATCTGCAAACTCACTTATACCAGAGTGGCACTTGGTCAATCTATGACAGTATTTAAAGATCTTGGCTGGGATGACAAGATGGTAACAACTTCTTTCCTAACAGGCATCTACCCAGAAAATGCCTTAGGCTGAATTTTCCCCAGAGGCTACCCTTGGGCATGTGAGGACCCCTTACCTATTCTCTGTCAGGAAGGGCATGTATTTTCTACTTCTCCCAGGATTCCTATTAACTTACAGGGCTGACCATAGTCAGAATTGTAAAAAAGAAAGAAAGAAAAAGAAGAAAAGAAAGAATCTATCATTATCCAGCTTTGTTCCTCATCCACTAAATCCTCCTACCTCAGAACTCAGTCTCCATGAGCTTTTTCCATTTTTTTCTCCTCTTTCTTGATCAAAGCATGTCCGTGGCCTCCTGCCTCTTTTTAAAGGATATAATATATGATGTCATGCTTGGAATTATTTGAATAAAAGGTATCTCTGAGTTCAATGAGGGAACAACCTTATGAGAGATTTCTTTGAGTGGGAGTCTCCCCTGTGCTGCTCAACACACCTCGTCACTCGGGCTGCCTGCTATCAGCTCCTTGGATGTGCCTGAGCATCTTCCAATTATAGCCCTCCTTCCTACCTCAGTTCCTCTTAGACCTCAAGATCTAGGAAACCCCTACTCTAAAGCCTACAAAAGACTAGAGTCCAGGGGAAAATGTTTTTAAATATAGAAGAGTTGGCTAGACTCTGCAGGATGTAAGGTCAGCTTTAGACAGTAGTCAGCAGAGAGGAGAGGACTCTTCATCAACCCACTGAAGGAGGATTTGACTATCGTAGTTAGGGAGATAAAAATCTGTAGAATATTAACATTTTCAAGGTAGAAGGGAGCTTAGAGGGGCTCAAGTCCAATGTTTCTACTTTGTGCAGTAGCAAACAGAGATTCTATGAAGGTAATAAAATTGTGTTTGATTTCTTAGAAGAGTTGCCAGGTTTGCACCTTAGCTGCCCAGAGCCTGTAATTTTATAGAGGAATTTGGCGCATTATTTTCTGTAGGCATTTACTTTTCTATTCCAAAAGGGGAAATCAGGCTTATAAATGCTTTTCATATTGACATCTTTTAGTTTCTATAGTTATGACCTGGAAAGAATTGTTCAGTATTTGGTGAGGTTGTTGAAACCTGGTCCGTTCAGGTTTGGGTTTTCTCTTGACTCTATCACAGTTTCATTGACTTTTAAGACATTTACTTAACTTTCATTACAAACGAGAAGTCGGCTGAAATGTTTCTCATGATACAGCCATTTTTAAGAAATTGTTCTTTTTGTATTTGGCTAGTAAAAGAAAAAAAAAATCTAGGCAGGAAGGTGCCTTAGTGTCTTTGCTTCTAAGTTGCAGCCTCAGGGCAGCAGTACTGCATACCCCAACCTGTTATACTGGTTTGGTGTTCATGTTTATTTTCTGCGGTGGAAAAAATATCTCTGTATTCATCGTGGTAAACCATGCCTGTGAGTGCCTTGAAATTTTTCTAAAACTCTAAAGAGGACTAACTAGTTTGTGACTCTTCCTTCCCAGCCTAGAGAATTTCAACGTTTTTTTTCAATTAAGAGAAGTGAAAGGACAGAGAGAGAGAGCGTGAGAGAGAGATATGCAAGGAGTTCTTGTTCCAGGAGGAAGACTTTCACTAGCTCTTAGAGATTATTTGGAACACATGAAGACCTGAGACATTTTGGAGTTGAAATTTAGATATTGAGGTAACAGGGTTTTTTGGTTGAAACTTCCAGAAGCTCTGCTGGAGAGAGGTCTTATTATCTAAAGGCAAAATAGAGCACATTTGGAGTAAGTAAAATTGCAGAGAATGTCAAGAATGGCATGAAATCCCAGGTGAGTCTTACCTA